GTTCTATTCTAAAATGCCGAAAGATTTCTACCCATCTTTTGTCAGATTCTATTTTATCATCGTTCCATTTCTTCAATTTTTCTTATTTAAATATAAATTTACTCTTCGAATTTCTTTAAAGAAAAAATTGTCATTAATAACAATAACTTTTACTTCATTACAAATTTGACTGCTGAAAAAACTTCTTTCCATTCAATTTAACTATTTATAAGGGTCCATTTAAAACAACTCAATGCTTTAAAGTTCACTATCCGTTCTTCGATATATTCATAGCAAATTTTATGAAAATTTTTAACTTCTTTTAAAAATTCATTCTTTATTCGAGGATTGGAATCTTCTAAAACGGTAATATTGTATGTAGTAGTGTATGTATATATATATATATATACATATATATATATATATATATATATATATATATATATATATATACATATATATATATATATATATATATATATATATATATATATATATTTCTCCTTTTTTAAAGGCTGATATGGCTTTGGTTGAATCTGTTCAACGCAAAGCTACAAAATGGGCTTACAGCTTGAGGCATCTTCAATACTGCGAAAGGCTAAAAAGATTAAACCTACCATCACTTGAGTTTCGACGCATTCGATGCGATTTAATCCAAATTTTTAAATTAATACATCGTTTTGATATAGTTAATGATAAATATCTACCAAAATATATTAACTCCGTGTCTCGTGGTCACCATTCTAAAATAAGGCGTGAGTATGTTCTAAACTGTCTTCCAAGATATAATCATTTGTATAATAGATCAGCAAAATACTGGAACAATCTACCAGAGCAAATAACTTTGTACTCCACTGTACTTTCTTTCAAAAATAGACTAGACTCCTGGTTGTGGAAAAAGTTTGGAACAAATATTTATAAAACTGGTTGTTTATAGTGGGGTGTTTCCCCTGCTCGCTGTATGTGTACATTCTATGTAAATTTACGACTACAACTATAATAATAATAATATATATATATATACATATATATATATATATATATATATATATATATATATATATATATATATATATATATATATATATATATATATATATATATATATATATATATATATATATATATATATATATATATATATTTTTTTTATTTTGTTTTTTGTATATTTCTGCAAAAATTATTTTCTGTCACTCAATCCTTCTGAACTTATGTGATTAAATTTTTGTTTTCTCTTACATATTTTCTCACTCATCTTATCTTATCCGTTCATTCTCTCTTTTTTTTTTTAATTTTTCTTAGCGTTACTCGTTTTTATTTTTGTTCTATTTCCAACTTTTTTAATATTATTGTTCCTTATACTTCTTCTTTTATTACTTGTATTAATGGAGTTTACTTTCTTTATTATTTCCTTGTTTTAATGTTTTTTTATTTTGTTTATTTATTTTATTTAGGTGTCGCTCTATTGACTAGTTTTTAATATGAGTGACACCAAACCTAGATATGTAAATTATAATTAAATTTGTAATTTTTTATTTTATGGTTAATTAACCATAAGCGCATGCGTAGTATGTACGGCAAAGATTTTTTTATGCTTTTATTTAATTAAATAAAATGGTTAAAAATAACTTTTCCGCACATACTACTTATGCGTCAAGACTTTCATGCATGCCGTACATACTGCACATCAAAGATTAGCCTGGGGATTACATATACAAATATTGAAGAGATAAATATATCCATCTCTTTTCACAAATGTAATTTTGACTTTGTTAGAAAAAGAGATCTGTAGTATATAATTATCTCTCTAAGTACATAATACGGCCTCTTAATTGTAATACAGTGATGGGAACAAAATTTAAATCACTGTCAAACTCGTGGCTGATATTTGCCCTGTCCTCTAAAGAATCGGAAACGGCAAGCAATATGCGCACGTAAAATTAAAATCACTGTCAATATATATATATATATATATAAATATTTAATTAATAAAATTGAAATGAAATAATCTAATATAATAATAAAAAAATGTTTTAGAAATATAAATGAGTACAAAATTATACAAATGAGTACTTTCAGAGTACAGAATTTGAAAAAAATACGGTTTGTAAAAAAAGAGTACAAAAATCAGTAAATGAGTATAGTTGGTTACCTTAATTATCTACATAATTTTTTGGTAGATTTCAAAGTTCTTGCAAAAGATGGTTTTGGCTATGAAAATATTGAGTTTAAAATCAATCTTGCTGTTATCATATGCGCCAGCTAGAGCATTTCTTAAGTGTATTAAGGGACACAATGGTTATAACTGATGTGAGCATTATATTTAGAAAGGAGAGTGGTGTGGCAAGATAATACTCCCACATATTTCACTAGTTTTAAGCGCTGATTCAGATTTTTTGTCATCAAAAACATTCTGAACATCTTAGTGGTGTATTAAATTAAATTAATTTTGATATGGTGACAAAGTTTCCTTTAGACTTTATGCATCTAGTATGGGAATGCGAAGACTCATTAACTTATGGTTAAATTGCCCAAATGTTGTAAATTGTCTTAGATTACAGTTAATACTTTATCTGGCGGATTGTTCCAGATACGTCATTACATTTCAAGAAATTTTTCTAGAAAATCATTTTCTTAATTAGATATTAAAAAATGGAAAGCAACTGTACTTAGACTATTTCTAGTATACACTGAGCCAGTTGTTTAAATGGAATAGTTTAGCCAAAAATCTATTCAAACTTTTTAGAATTTTCAGTTGCAGTTCTAATTTCATATGTGTGTGTGTGTGTGTGTGTGTGTGTGTGTGTGTGTGTGTGTGTGTGTGTTTAATTTAGGGGCTCTTTTACAAATGTAAGGATTTTCTTATTTAGTATTTTTATTTAGATTTTTTTTATTTATTGGAAAAAGTTTTTAAGAATTTTATGTTTTTTTTTTGAATGGAAGGAGGTATATACAATATAAGTCATATTATAGCAATATAAAAATAATTATATACAATATAAAAATAAAATTTTATTTATATAATAATTTTATATAATTTATTTATCAGTAACTAAAGGTATGTTAACAATTTATTATATTAATCATAAGCATGTGCTTATCTATTACATGTACATTTTAAAACGTTGAAATAAATGTCGATTATAAAATTAAAGGTTATATTTTTCTACCTTCGATGGTGAAAATTACATTTTTTATCTGAAGAGTGTTAGGAGAAATCGTAAGAGTTTTATAACATTTTAAAAATAATGTATGTGTTACCTATAAAATTTAAAACTAACAGTTAAATTTAATTTTTTTACAATTCATTTTGAAACGAGATATTTTGTAAAGAGGTTTTCAAAGAGGATTTCAAAGAGGTTTTCAAAGTGGCGGGATAGCTCAGATGTTTAGAACGTTAAAGGAAAAGTGAAAACCCGGACTGTTGAACGATACGAGTTTAAATCCCGCCACCGCCAACTCAGCGCTTGAGTAGCACTTCGGTACGCAAAAATGTTGGTCAATAACGGACGCCACTTTGGATTAGTCTTAATGACTATTTGTGGCTGTTATATGCTAAGCCAACTATATCTTCGGATATAAGAACATTGCATAGAAAAATATAGCATGAAAACTTAAATAAATAAATAAAAGAAGTCGTTTTAACAACAATGGAAACGCTTCCAATTCCCGAGATAACCGTGAAAGCATTCAATACATGATTAAAGAATCGTTTAAAAATTTGCTTAATTTCGACAGTGTAATTTTTAATCTTCTGCATTACGAAGAATTTACTTCGAAAATTTTTTTTTTCGAACTTCGAATTTGGAAGTTTAAAAATATGGACTTAGAGAACACGGAATTCGATTTTTGCGAAGTTGAACAAAATGGTCCTTATAATTGCGTATACAATCAAGTATTTCGAAGTAATGAAATTCGAATTTTAAATTTTCGAAGTTAATATTTTCAAAGTTCAATTTTTCTTCAAAGTTTTTTTAATTAAAAGTTTGCTATTTTTTGGTTATCGTAAATTATCTTTTTAAACTGTTTGACGCTCTCCAACTTGTAGTTCTATTAATTATATTAAAAGGAATGAAAAAACTTTTATAATAACAAAAAGCAAGAAAAAATGTTATAATGCGTATAATCGTTTTAATATGACGCGAATTGTATATTGAAGTTAAAAATTATATATTAGTAGTTTGAAGAAGTTAGATTCTAACCAGTGATATTTTTGTTCGGAAAATAATTTTAGTTTTAGTTTTTATTCAGTTTAGAGGCAAAGTTTTTAGTTCTAGTTCTTATTCAGTTCAGTAAATAAATTTAGTTCTAGTTTTTATTCAGTTCATCTTAAAATAATTTTAGTTTTAGTTTTTATTTTGTTCAATTTTCGTTTGTCGTATAAATTTTTTATCTCATCTAATTATAATTTAGTATAATTTATAAATAATATAGGCATATATAATTAAAAGAAGTAAGTCTTAGTTCTATAAACAAACAAAAAAATGAGAACTTAATTAAATGTAATACACCCAGTCCCATGGCTAGAAGTTTAGAGCCCCGCACACCGCCCTTAACAAAAAACACAACAACAACCTGTCCTTATTGCTCTAAAACTTAAAAAAATTTCAATTATTAGGTATAAAAAAACTCCTCAAATTTGGTAACAATAAAAACTAATGAATAGTTATTGTATAGACTTTAATAATTACTCATATATTTTACAAATAAAGGGCCTAGTGATTATATGATTATCATCTAGACTAGATGAGAATTTAGTTTTAAGAAAACTCGCATTTCCAATGACGCTGACATTCGATTTCTCCGTCCATTTGTGAGCAAGCCACAGATTGAAAAAAGTCTTTCAACATATGCTTGAGTTGCAGGAGCTGCAATGAGGTCTTCAGCTAATGGTGCAATATGTGGGTAAACAGCACGTCTCATCTTCCAGAAATTTAAGGCATTTTGGCACATAGAGCTGTTCCTTATTTCAATAAAATATTTGTTGAGTTCATTTTGTGCTTCATTACCTGGAATAAGCTTTATTTTTCTACTCGCTGTTTTGCCGCTAAAAATTTCCATTTTGTTAATCCATTTATTTCTGGAGCAATCTCAACAGAAAGAGTAGATGCACTTGCTAAAGGTAAATCATGTTGCACCGATTTTTTAGCCTCTGACAAAATGTATTTCTTTGCACACTCTCTGATTTGTGTATGCTCATTACCTAAAAGAGCTATTGCACATGTGGGGTCAAGTAGACATGCGGCACATGGCAGTGGATTAAAATTAGGATCGTTTGGCTGCAAAAGAACGGCAAAACGACGGCGTAGATCTTCAAGCATTTTAACTGCTACATCTTTGGCATCTCCAAATTGCTCAAGGTGACATTCTAAATTTAGTATTGAAGGTATAACACTGGATAGTGAAAGTGCATCCGTCTGAAGAATATCAGTTTCATTGGCAAAAGGTTCTAAAAGATTGACAAAATCCTGAAGCATTATCCATTCGCTATTGGCAAGTGAATCAATGTTAAGGTCTCCAAGCACTTCGTTGATAGATGTCTTTATTTCCAGAAATCTCCGAACCATAAAGTAAGTGCTGTTCCATCTTGTAGAACAGTCGCTGATCACAGTCTTACCACATTTGTTGATAATTTTTTCCAATGCAACAGAAGATTTGCGAACTTTTCCCACTAATCCACGTACCTTCAAAAGTAAGCCATGATATTTACCATCATATGCAAGTTTTACAACTAGCTGTATAACATGTGCAATGCATCCCAATCTTCTATATGCTACGTTTTCTATTACATCAACTATCAAGTTAACAAGTTCCCACTCTTCACTATTTGTCATATTCTCATCGTCTTCCAGATCTGTTATCTGCTCTTCATTAACCTCACTTTCTAATTCAATAAGTATATCACGTTCAGCTTGAGCTTTCATTCTCGACAACTTTATGCCTTTGACCATGTTTGCTCCATTGTCCGAAATAACAAGTAATATTTTTTCTCTGGAAATATTCCAATATTTTAGGCATTTTTCAAAACAATTAGCAATTTGTTCACCTGTATGTGGATGTTTCACAAGATACAAATTAAGCAGAACATGTATTGGTTTTTCGGATTTGAAGTGAAAAAAACAAACCAAAATTCTTAAAAAGGACGCAGTAAGACCTTTTTTAGTCCAGCCATCAAGGCATATTGTGAAGCGCCTGCCTTCAGATATGAAGTCACGAAGTTTTCTCGTTAAAACAGTAAATTCTTCATTAAGTAGGCTAGTAATTTTGGCAGAAGCAGGCAATGAAAATTTATAATCCAAGGTATTAACTAACTTTCTAAAACTCGCATTATCCACCAATGTCACTGGATTACATGTTGCAATTATCATTTGAATAAGAGAGTTTAGTCGAATTTTATGCTCGTGTGAATTAATAGGCCATGCGGTATTCCTACGATTAATGCATTGAATCAAGGTCTGGTTCTGATTTGAGGACGATTCTAAAAGAGTGGGTCCATTTTCATCCACTGCTTTTCTCTTTATCCCTGTTTGCTTTTTTTCACTTAATTTCTTTAATTCCGACTCTTCCAGCTCAACGTGTACAGACTTATGGTTTCTTGCTAAATGTAGCTAGAAAAAAATAAACATATTTATATAATTTTTTGTTTGTATATTTATATGTTTATTTATCTATCTGTTTATTAATTAATGTATAAATAAGTTCGTATACGTTATTGAATAATTACTCTAAAATGATAAAAATGAGTCGTTTGTTTCAAAATGAAAACATATCCTCTAACAGATAAACTAACTTTAAGATTTGTTGGGTTCTTTCCACACAACTTTGTATTGCATACTTTTTCACCATCAAGTAAAACTAAACATACTGATTTGTCGGATGACGCATCGTATTTAAACCATTTCCATACTGAACTATTCCTCTTCCTACCAGCAAAAAGTTTACTCAAACTCATCGCGTAGTTGTGTTGGTCTTACAGTTTGATTTTTTTTAGTTCGAAAAAATATATTCGAATAAATATATTCGAACTATATCATAACTTAACTTATTCGAACTTAATTGAATAAAATTCAATTAAGTTCGAATAATATATCATTATAATGTATTGTAATATAATAATTATATATATCAAAAAATTCAAGTCGTTTCAAATCTAGAACGAAAATATTTCGTTTTAAAATAATTTTCGATTCAGTTTTTATTCCGTTCGAAAATTTAAAATTATCGTTTTTATTCTGTTCTCGTTCTTAAAATAAATTTCGTTTTAGTTTTCGTTTTCGTAAACGAAAGGCTTTTTTTTTCGTTCTCGTTTTTGTTCTCGTGTACGAAAATATCACTGATTTTAACTTAGTAAGTTAGAAGTTAGAAGTAATGAAATTCGAACTTTAAATTTTCGTAGTTTATATTTTCAAAGTAAAAAAAAGTCTGTTCAGCACTAATTTATAGTTCTAGATTAGTAAATACAAGTTTTTAACAAAAACAATAATTCACGACTTTACCTGATTAAATATCAGAGTAAATTAACGAACATTTTTTTTTTATTTTTATTATTTTTTTTTTATTTAATATATATTTGCTGTTTATATAATAAGAAATATAATTACAAAGAAACGTTTACATACAAAAAAAAGTGAATTTATATTAAACAGGCAGGGGCTCAAAGAAGATACGGATGACTAAAGTCACCACAATCTTTTCATAGAGCCCCTAGGTGGGCTTTACAAGTAAAAAAAAATAGTATCTCCAATATAATAAAAAGGTTAAAGCTTGCATAAATATTTCCATTAAATCAAGAAAGTAAATAACATCATATAGTTTTATCAATATTCATTAAAATATATTGGCAACTCTGTTAAGTATCAAAATAAGACCCAATTAACAAGTAAAAAAATTAAAAATAATGGAACTCGTTTATCATTTCGAAAAATCAAGAAAACTATTTATCTAATTTAAAAATTTCATTTTTTATTATAAACTTAAAGGAATTTAATGATTTTACAGTATTTAAATCTTTTGTTTTTTGAAAAGTGTTCCATAGTTTTGGTCCACGGTATGATATTCCATATTCAGAATACTTACTATTAATTCTTGGTAATTTATAAGTATTCCATTGGTTTATTCTAAGAGAATATTTTTTGTTTACATTTATTGTAAATTTATCATTAAAGTTTTTTGGAATCAAGCTGTTGTTACATTTATTCATAAAAATTAGGTGTTGGTAAATGTTGATTTCATATATATTCATCATTTTCATGTCTTCCATTAATGGTTTTGCATGTTCATATTTTTTTTTATATATATAAGTCTGCATGCATGTTTTTGTAAAGAAAATATTTTTTTAAGTTTTGTTGGTTGAGTACTAGCCCATGTGATATTGGCATAGTATATGAAACAATGTATTAGGCCAAAATATACTAATTTCAGACTTTCTGATGTTACATATGGACAAATACGGTACATTAGACCAATTGTTTTACTAATTTTTGATTGAATATAATTAATATGGGGAAGCCATGATAAATTTTCATCAATAAGAATTCCCAAGAATTTTATTGAATCATTTTTACTAATTAGTACATCATTTACAATCAAATCAGGTAATTTTGAAGGAAGTTTTTCATCTTGTGATTTTTTATGAAATAAAGTATATTTTGTTTTAACTACATTGAGTGAAAGTTTATTTGCCTTAAACCATTCATCTACATTCATTAGTTCAGAGTTCATGTCAGAATACAGTTGATTAATGTCACAGTTTGAAAGGAAGAGATTTGTGTCGTCAGCAAACATTATCGAGTTAAGCTTAGCTGATGCATTATTAAAATCATTTACATAAATCAAGAAAAGCAATGGACCAAGAATTGACCCTTGCGGAACTCCACACAAAATATTAAGTTGACCTGATTCCTTACTAATAACATATTGTTTTCTCTCAGTGAGGTAGCTTTTTAACCAATCATAGGTTTTATTTATCACTCCATAGTGTTTTATTTTTTCCAAAAGAATTAGGTGATCAACCGTATCAAATGCTTTTGATAGGTCAGTAAATAATCCTAAAGTGAAGCTATTATTTTCAAATCCTTTAGTAATTTGGTCTACTATTTCAATTATTGCGTGTTCTGAAACATTCAATATATTATCACGAAACATTTAGCTGTGCAACTTGAAAAAATCCTCTCTACAAGTTAAAAATGGCTCCTTTAACAAAATTATTGTGGAAAGAGTATGAAAAAATAAAAGCTCCTGACGACGCACCTCCAGGTGAGAGTGATCCTTCTGGAAAGTGTAAGAAATGCGGAAGAATTCTAAAAATGAAAAACTCATCAACTGGCGCTTTAAGGTCTCATTTAAAGTGTCACAAAGGAATTCTTGCAAGAGTGGTCTGCAAGAGTCCTCTGAGCTAGCAGAAACTGAGCAAGAGGACGCAAATTCACTGGAACTTCACCAAGCTTTGTTTGATGTGGACGAATATGAAAAGAACCATGACAAATATGAAAAGAACCATGGTAAAAAAATTTAAAATACAGACGGGCCTTGTTATGTGCGATCTTCTTATTTAGCTTTAGATGCTCATAAACAAAGTTTAACTGTTTCAATTTAATTTTTTTCAGATTTCATCAACAGTCCATCAAACAACACTCCTTTGAAAACACACAAACAAAAAAAGTTGTTGCCAGCCCAATCCACAATTAGCAATTCAATTGTTCCACTTTCAATTCAATTGTTGAATACTTTCAGCCCAAAGTTTCAATTTTTTCTAAGCGCCAGCTTGACTATGATTTCGACCTACTTGAGCTGTTGATGAGCTGTTCCCTCTCATTCAACATTGCTGAGACGGAAGGATTCAAAAAGTATGCGGCCAAAAGGGAACCCCGGATGACGGTCAAGTTTGCAAGAACTTTTTTAAGGTGTGTGTGTTTTTTGCTGAAAAACGTTTGCATGGATAATTGTAATTGGATTTTCTGGTGAGCTGAATAGGCAATTTCCAAACAGTGGAACAAAGAATCACTATCATGCCATGGGAAATTTTCTCCACCCTTTTTTCAAGGGTGCATTGGTAAAAAAAGTATAGTAATTTTGAAGGGCTTAAGGACAGGTTGGTGAATAAGCATCCAAGTCATCAAGAGTTTTTGTCCCAAATCAGGAATGCTTCCCTAAATTTGACAGGGTCTGGCTTTGACCTTGACGAAGCTGAAAAAATGGCATTAGAAATGTCTGGAGAAGAAATTCTTTTCAGGGATGAAAAGTCAAAAATTGAAATTGAGTTAGATACATACAAAGGTCTCCCTCGTCCCGATTCCTCAAACACTGATATCCTAAAGTGGTGGGAAGCCCATGCAAAAATAATTCTACTACTTTCCCAAGTTGCAAGAAAATAATTGGCCATTCCTTTAACTTCTGCATCAAGTGAAAGGGTTTTCTCAGCTGCAGGCAGTGTGGTCACTGATTCAAGAACAAAATTGAATCCCCAAAATGTTGATAAAATTATTTACCTCAAGACCAACATTGGAAAGATGGATAAGGCACGATCTGCTTTTACAATTGAAACAGCTGAAGAGGAAACAGAAAGGAAATCCAAAACCTACCAAAAAAATCAATCTGCTGTCACTCCACTACAAGAGGATCCGAACAAACAGCGGTTCCATAATATTTCTGATGATTAAACTTAATTTGTACATCTGTAAATTGTAATACAAATCAATTACAAGCAATAATAGTTGTTACAAAGAATAAAATCTAAAAAAAGTTTTATATATTTACTTTTCTGTTTTGCATAATTTTTACACTCTTAAATCCATTAAAAATAGTCTAAAACTCGGTTTGATATACATCTTGAAAATTTCGGAATACTTCGAAAAAATCAAAAAAAATTTGAAATACTTCGGAAAAAAATTCGAACATTTTCGAAGTCCGAATTTGCTTTGATTGACTTCAAAACTTTGACCTCGATTTTCGTAGTTACAAATGTTCACTTCGAAACTTCGACTTCGAAAGACTTCGTCACCCGTAATGCAGAAGCTTACTAATTTTAATTACTATTTTTTTGAAATAAACCAACCAAATTTTATATAAATTTGCTTTGTCTGTAAATTTTAAACATTTAAACGTAGTTTTGCAAGATTTGCAATGGGTAAACCTCGTGGGACCCTCACGGGATATCCGGTGGGCATACCCAATGGGCCCAAGAAGAAAACTGCGGCCAAAATCCGGCGGGTTCCCGATGGGTTTCCCATATGGGTCTCATTTGCAAACCCAAATGAGCCCCATACGATTTTAAAGTACGGGGTTTGACTGGGCCTCATACGGAATACCCGGCGGGTTCACCCATATGGGCCCCATATGGAAACCGAGGCCATGATCCGGTGGGATATCGTTGGTCTTATATTTTCTAGGGATGAAAATTTTCTGTAAGTTTTCAACTCGGGAAGTTTTCCGGAAATTTTCAAGAAATAATAAGTTATTTTGACGACGAATGAGATTTAAAAGATTCAAGCCAATTTTATTTCAAGGTCATAAAATGCTTTATAAAGTTATTATTATGTGTTTTATCATTTTATTTGGTGAATTTCTTTTATAAATTATTTCAAGCATTTTTGCTGCTTGATAACTTATTTGTAAATGTTTGATATTATTTTTGTTAGAATAAAACTTTAGTCTCTTAACATAAAATTATTCAAAAATTGTTGTAAATGTTTGAAAATTATTTGTAATTTTGTCAAAAATTATTTGTTATAATTATACTCAAATGTCATAATTATACTCAAAAATTATTTGTAAATGTTTGAAATTGACGTTTTTAACTATTTTACTTTACCATTTATAATTTTGACTTTTTCAATTTACTGCCTTTTTCGCACAATTTTTAGCATCATAAATTATTTTGAACTACTACCTGTTCTCTCCATCATTGAAAACATACATGTATTTAACTTATTTTATTGTTGGAAATTGGATACTAGGTTTTTGCTTTACTGAGATTTTTTTTCTTTTCCAAAAGGTATTCAAATGCAACAAAATGGTTATTTCATAGAACAC